AGTGGCATGGTGGTTAAGGTAGTAAATCCTACATGGTTGACTCCATAGTTTGAGTCCTTTCTATATAATTGTTTTTGTTTTTTAAAGAATTATTTTTTATTTATCATTATCATTATTATTATTATTATTCAGTTTGATCAGAGACAGAAAGAGAGGGAAAGTGAGAAAGCAAGCCACCAGATCCGAGATTTGAACTGCAGACAGCCATGTTCCCGTACCTTTAACCACCATGCTACCTGCCAACCTCTTCATTTCTATATAATCATTAACATCAGCATGAAAAGTTTTATTTAGAAACAATTGGGGCTTTTTCTTGGAATTGTACTGAATCTGTTAATCAGTTTGTATGTGTATTAGTTATCTTTCTTCTTTTTTTTTTTCTTTTAGGTTTTTGCCATTGGATGTGTGCACTCACCAGAGACAAACATAGTAAGAGGGAAAGTGATAAAACTCTTCGTGAGGAGATGGCTAAGCACAATCTGTTCTCCATTTTCCTTTCAGGATTTTGGGCACATGTGCCCAGTGTAATATTTGTTTGTTTGTTTGTTTTAAGGTCTTTGCCATAGGGTGTGTGTGCTCATCAGAGAGACAGAGACAGACAGAAAATTAGAAATCACCCCCAGGAGGATGGCCATGCCACAATCCTTCTCCTCCATTCTCCTCCTGGGATTTTGGAGTGAGTTTCAAGCCGCTGGGTCTCAGACTCAAACCACAGTCGACCATGTAGGAATCCAGCACCTTAACCACCATGCCACCTGTTGACTCCATGTATTAGTTTTCTTGATTTGTCATAACAAGATAAAATGGTCTGGGAGGCTTAAACAACAGAGATTTATTTTCTCAACAGTTCTAGTGCCTAGAAGTCCATGATCAAAGTGTTTGCAGTTGGATTTGTTTTGAGGCCTCTCTCCTTGGCTTGTAGGTAGTGCCTTCTCACTGTGTCATCACCTGATCATTCTTGTGTCGTCTCTATCCTCACCTCCTCCTCTCATGTGAGAGTAGGGACTACCCATATGACTGCATTTTTCTTTTATTATTTCTTTAAAGTCTCTGTAACTAAGTACAGTCACAGTCTGACCTTGGGGTTTAGGATTTTGACATGAATCTTGGGGGCAGGGGCTGAGTACAATCCAGTCATGATGGGTGAGCACTGACATTTTGCCCATGTTAAATTTTTCAAGCTTTGAACACAATATATCCAATGTAATATACACATTTCCATTTATTTTTATATTCTGTGATGTCTTTCTCCAATATTTATCATTCTCTATACAGATATTAAGCCTTTTGTTGAATATTCACCATTTTCTCCAGAATCTGTCTTCTCCCTTATGCATTATAGTTCGTGTTCTGGAAAGCTGACCTTTATGAACTTCATCAGAGGCTCCTTTGCTTTTTGGCCTCTGGGTGAATTTGACTATGCAAAGCATGGGCAAGAAACCTAAGCAGATATTTATTCCTCAATGTCCACCCCCTTTCTGGGCTGTCGATGGTTGGCAGCAACTGTGTTACTCTACTGACTGTTCCAGCTATGTCAAGTAGCTTCTCCTGTAGCCACAGCTTTCTCTATGAACTCAGGTTTGGACAAATGCTTCCTTTCAGTTGCCCCCCCCCTTTTTTTTTAATGAGAGGCTTTTGCTATAGGGCACAAGTGCTCGCCAGAGAGACAGAGAGAGACAGAGAGACAGAAAGTGAGAAATCACCACCCATGGGTGATAGCCACACTGCAATTCCTTCTCCTCCATTCTCCTCTGGGGATATAGGGCACACATGCACACGTCTGGCATGAGTTTAAGCCACTGGATCCAGGACTCGAACCACCATCGACTACATGGGAGTCCAGCAACACAGCCATGATTCTAACTGCTGGTCCCTCAGTTGCCCATTCTTATCTACAGCCATTCATATCCATTTTCTTTCTCAAGTTTCTCATCCTTCTTTGTGGTTGTTTTTGATCATGGTCATACCTTAGAAATGATCCCTTCATTAAACTGTCCTCAATTTCTACATTCCAATGTGCCAGATTTTCCTTGTTGGGAAACATACTTTGCGAGATTTATTATTATGTACTTTGTAAATTTTGATGCTACTTTCTACCACATGTTTCAAAATTTGATTTGTTTTTAATGTTTAGAAATGTGACCAGTTGGTTACCAGCAGATGATGTAATGGATCCATTGCTGGAATCCCATGTAGTCGACTGCAGTTCAAGTCCCAGACCAAGTGGCTTAAAACTCATACAAGGCGTGTGTGCGTGTATGCCCAAGATCCCAAGAGGAGAATGGAGGGGAAGGGATTGTGGGATAGCCAGCCATCCTGGGGGGTGATTTCTCACTTTGTGTCTGTCTCTGTCTCTCTGGCAAGCACATGTGTCCTATAGCAAAAATCTCTTTAAAAAAAAGTGACCAATTTCATTAAACAGTACTTTTTAAAGATCCAGTAATCTTGTTAAACACTCATTAATTCCAATAATTTGTATATACTTTTATCATTTTTATATATAATCTTCGATGTTTTTTTATTCATGCTAGACTATGTGCATATGAGTGAGACACAGACAGGGATAGAGAGAAGCCACCTCCACAACATCAGGTCATACTGTGATCTCCCTCCTCTAGCCCATTGGATCTTGGACACTCTTGAGTGGCATGTTTCGGGTTGATTTGGCTGGGGATTTGAGCTGCAGTCTGTTTTATGACCAATGAATGGCTCTGGTTGTTACTCAAAGGAGTGGTCTCCTCATGCCAAGTTCAAGCTTCTCTTACGCAGTGCATTACTGTCATGCCAGAGTTGGCCCAATAAAGAATCTTCAAGTAATCACAGACTTACAACTTTCTTCCCAATAGTTATGCCTTTTTGGGTTATCTCAACCTCTAGGACAATGTTGTACTGAAGCAGTGGTAGCAATCATCCCTGTCTTGGACCCCAGCCTAATGGAGAATACTTCACAGTCTTTCACTACCATGAATGGTATTCCTTTCAGATATCTTAGTAGGTTAAGGACATTCTTTTCTATTTCTCGCATCTGAGAATTCTTTCCATCAGTGAATGAATGTTAAGTCCCACTGAAAACTTTTTATACATCTATAGATTCAATTTTTCTCTTTCAGTCTTTTAATGTGTTTAGTTGTATTAATTGCATAAATCTGTCTCCTTATACTAAACTTACCTTGAATCCCACATGATTAGTCATGATATATACAACTCTTAGAACTGAGGATCCAAAAAAGCAAACAGTAATACATTCTCTAGAGCCAAAGTAGGTACCATAGTCATCAGTATCTTATGTATACACATGAGCAATAAGGGAATGCATTATCAATATTTAACTGGCCCATTGTGTTCTGCCTTTGTTCACCTCCATTAGTAAGGCAGTCTATTTAACAGTAAAGATCACTTGCTGAGCATTCACTAAAGCCATTTAACTTTTGGCACTGGAGTACATATTGCTACATTGCCATTAAGGAGCTCATAACTTAAGTGTGTGAATGGGGTGTGTCCCTGCTGTAGGAGGAGAAGGGGAGGAGGTAGGGTGAGATTGGCACAAAGGAACAGAACAAAAGATTATGAAAACCAAATAGTAAGTACTGTATGTAAGTGAATGAATAAAGCACTAAGGACATCCTATGGAGACACACTTCAAGTTTCCATTCAAGTTACTCAACCTGACTCTTGAAGGATGGTAGATACTTGATTCAAAAAAGATAGGAAATATTGACACGCTTGGGTCGATTAAGTATTTATTGGCATATACTAAGATATTAGGGCCTTGGGGAAAAAGAAATGAACAAAACACATTAATAAATCTGTCCTATTTGGGGCTTGCATTTTTTTTTTTTAAGAGAGATTTTTGGTGTGCTCACCATAGAGAGAGACAGAAAGTGAGAAATCACCACTGCCCCTTGGTAATTGCTTCTCTTCCCTTCTCCTCTAGGGTTCTTGGGCACACACACAAGGGTCCGGGACTCCTACCACGGTTGACTAACTCGGAGACCAATGACAGTAACCTTTAGACCATCTAATGGTCCCTTGGGCATGCACTGTAACAGTTGAAAAAAAAAAAAAACTGGCTCAAAGAGAAGGCCTTTCTTGCTTAGGAAAACTTGCATGAGCAATCAATGAACAGTTCTGGTGGTTACTCAGGAAAGAGATTTCCTCACGGCGGCTGCCTGTAGGAGGACAATACCAGACTGTTTTTTATTTAGTTTTTACAGTACCTTTAAGTATTTTTGTCTATTTATGTACCTACATGCAGTTCACAATTACCATACATACATACACTGGGAGTGCAGGCTAAAACTATACTGGTAAGAGTATTTCATGAAAAAATGGAGAGTCTACTACTCTAGAGTTCTCCAAGGTCCTCCAAGTAAAAAACAACTTGCATTGAGGGTATTTAAAGACATAAGGCATTCGTATCTGAAACATCAACAAAACGGGAAACTTTTACAGCAGACGGGTGGCTGGAGGTCTCATTGGCAGACACGCAAGAGGGGTTGCTTATGCAGTTTCAAGTAAGAAAAATAAAGTTAGACGACGTTTGCTGTTTCCGTCCGACACAGAGAACCGCTGTTTCTGCAGACGTCCGAATGGCGAGCACCGTCCAACCAGCGGGACAGCTGGGCGCGAACTCCCCAACCGCCCGCAGGTACGGGGTCGCCGGGTGTAAGAGCAGCTTCGGCACCCCGCGGGCTCCGCCTGGGCGCCCGGAGCCGCTGGAGCGACACACTTGAGATACTCCGCGGCGTCCAGAGAGACTCCAGGAGCCACACGCTGCCATCGCGCAGGAGCCCTGCAGCCGACGCGCAGCCGCCGCGCAGCCGCCGTGGCGTGCTCGCCCCGCGCTGAGCTTGCGCATGCGCGCTCCCGTCCATCTCGGTTCTGCATTGGTCTCTTCGACCAGGCGAGCCCGCCTTTCCGACGTCGTCACCTCCGGTGGATTTGCGTCATTTGCTTCGTCACTTCCCGCCGCAACCGGTGTGGACAGTGCGGATTGTGGCCGGGCCCGGCCCGATTCTCCGGTCCTTCCCCTCCCCTATTTTCCTCCCTCCCTCCCTGTCCCTCCCTCGGCGGCTGTCGCCCTCCGGTCGCAGACTCCCCGACCCCTCCCAAACCCCCTCCTGGTCTCGGTGCCCCCCAGGTTGGCCTCCTTTTCCTGTTTCTCGGCTCAGTCCCCGTATCAGGGCGGGGGCCTCGAGGACCGGAGGCGCCGCAGCGAGGAGAGAAAAGACCAGGACGACCCTCAGCCCCCCAGCTCTGTCGCTGGCTTCGCCGCCGCCATGGCAATGAGGCCGACGCCGCTCACCTGCTCCGGCCACACGCGGCCCGTGGTTGATTTGGCCTTCAGTGGCATCACTCCGTATGGGTATTTCCTAATCAGCGCTTGCAAAGGTGAGCCAGGCCGCTGCCCCGAGTCCCCGACGGCTAGGAATGGGCCGGGCTGAGGGCGGGGGCGCTGGCGGGGATCTGGACCCCTGGTGAGCGCCAGCGCGGGCCTGGGGGAAGCGAGGGTGCTGGGACTCCACCGCCAAAGCGGAGGGGCCTCTTTCTTGTGGCCTCTGACGAGGTTAAGAATCACACTTCGATCAAAGACCTCTCCGCATTTTATTTGGCCATATCGGGAGAAGCTGGACTACGTGCTGCTGGGCAAGCTGCCTACACGCCCCCGACAGCCACCCTAAATGTCGCTCAAGGATTTGGAAGAAGAAAGACCAGGAGGAGCGTTACTGTCTGAAGACGGTCGCTCTTGTTAACCTCATTGGATATTTCTTTTCAGTATTAGCCCCATTTTTAAAAATGGGAGACCGAGAATTAGGTTAAGAAGTTTTGTCCAAAATGCGATTCAAACGTGTCTTGTTTTGACGCACGTCTGAAGTCCCACGACCGAATCCCAGACTTCCCAGAGAAAGACCTGTTCAGCTCTGCAGTGAATCTATTTCTAGACATTCCCTAGTGATCCCAGTAGTGGGAGCAGTGTGACAGCAAACACAGTTGTTCACTTCGTTGTTCAACATAATTGTTGCTTAATTCTTAGATTTTAAGTGATCTGGGCTTCCAAATCATGTGTCTTTTACATTTTTCTAGATGGTAAACCTATGCTACGCCAGGGAGATACAGGAGACTGGATTGGAACATTTTTGGGTCATAAAGGTGCTGTTTGGGGTGCCACATTGAATAAGGATGCCACCAAAGCAGCTACAGCCGCTGCAGATTTCACAGCGTAAGTGTAGCCAAAAATGGCCAACTTTGGTGTTCTCGGCGGGACTGTCCTGAAATAATCTTCAGCCTGTTACTGAAATAAGCTTCAGCCTGTTACTTATAAAGTTCTGATTCAGTGACTACTGTGTAAAATACATGATGTTTGCTTTTTTTGTCTTCAGTTCTCAAAATTTATAGACTTAAGTGACTTAGTCCTTTATTGTAATTGCAACCCAGGGATCTGCATTATTAACAAGCACTATAGTATACATACCAATGTATTCTGGTCATCTCCTTTACAAATTCTGCTGTGTATGTGGTCTTCATTGGCCTAGTGTGTTAATGGCTCCTAATTTTTATTTCATTCTATTATCAATAACTGGCTTTAGGCATATTTAAAACTCAAATACTTTTCATTCTCTAAATTGCTCAACCGTTTTTGATATGCGCATACGACCAGACTATCACCACCAGGTTCTGTGACACCAGCAGAATGTCGGTTACAGTGTCCTCAATGTCATGACTTCAGTGTTTCTTTCATGTGTCATCCACTGCCTTAGCTTGCAGTCATTTTTAACTTTGTGCCACTAGTCTCTTTTCCTTCTGTTAGTTTTCCATGTTGCCGCCAGTTGTATTCCTAAATACAAATTTCCACTGCATCTCTTCTCTATAACAATCTCGTCTCATCTTTGCCATTGTGGTGGATCAAGACCTTGGGTGCACATTAGCATAACCTGCTGAGGGACCAGCAGTTAGCGTAATGGCTGTGTCGCTGGACTCCCACATAGTCAACCGCGGTTCGAGTCCCGGACCGGTGGCTTAAACTCACGCCGGGTGCGTGTGTGTGCGTGCCCAAGATCCCGAGAGGAGAATGGAGGAGAAGGGATTGCGGCGTGGCCATCCCCCCTGGGGGGTGATTTCTTGTTTTCTGTCTCTCTGTCTCTCTCTGTCTGGCAAGCGCACTCACCCTATAGTGAAAATCTCTCCAAAAAAAAAAGATAACCTGCAGAACAGAACAAGGCTGTGGGTCTATCTAGAATGTTATCCTGAGGTAATTGGGGCAGTTGAATCTCAGTGCTGAGTACACTGTCCCTGAAACTATTTGTAAAGCTAGTGTTAGCATTACTTCCCATGATCGACTTCTCTGTACTTCCATATTCCTCTCACCAAAATCTGGAGAGAGTGCCAGAGTAGAGGAGATTCCTGTGCTCTGTTCCCCAGAGGGCCTAAGTAGATCTGGGCCCAGTTATCTTTAGGTGATCGGTAACTGTAGGTGATAGATCACTTTTTTCTTTCTTGTAAAAGCCAATAGTAAGATCTAACTTCTCACAAAGACTCTGGTAAATGAAAGATGGTATTTTCTCCTTCTGGATGGCTTATTCAGCATGTTAAATTATAAATTTATAATTACAATTTATATAAATTATTCAGCATTTGGCCCCTCCTGCAAATTAGCTTAATTGTTTGTTAAACCTTTAAATAAGTGAATTAAGCCATTCTTGTTTTGAGATTTGTTATGTCAGTTCATTCTCAGGATTTGAAAAGTATTAACATGTGCAGGAAACTGAGGATGTAAGAGTTGTCAGTTCAGGGAGACGACCAGTGCTTCTTGAGTTGTACAAAAAATAAAGGCTGCAGAACTTGCTGATGGAAGCATATTGTTCATGAAGCTTTACTGTCTTGATTTGAGCCCTGCAATCAGCTAAATTTGTCAGTTTCTTGCCTGGACATTGAATAATAATTATAAAACACTTAGATTACTCCTGATCCCTTTTTTTTTTTTTTTTTTGGAGAGATGTTCACTGTAGGGCGCGTGCGCTCGCCAGACAGACAGAGAGAGACATAGAGACAGAAAGTGAGAAATCACCCCCCAGGGGGGATGGTCACGCCGCAATCCTTCTCCTCCATTCTCCTCTCGGGATCTTGGGCACGCACGCACACGCGCTCGGCCTCTATTTTAGTAGTGTTTTAAATAGGAAAGATTATAGATGCATTAACTATCTGATAATACTTCGGACACTCATATTCTCTTTCCTTACCAGTGGATGGACCTAGTGTAAGCAGAATCTTAAGATTTTTAAGGAATTTTTGTAAGATGAGCATACCAGAAATTAGTATTTCAAAAGACATTGCCCAGAGTTCTCTTGAGATTTATGTGAATAAGTAGGATAGTCATTTTAGGGATATTTGGCTTTTTTTTTCTTTTACTTTTAATGCCTCTGTTATCCTAATTTGTTTGCTCTCTAATCAGTTCACCTATAATTAAGAAAAAAACAGATGCCAACAGACATAAAAAAATAATAGAAATATAAGCACAGTATCATTATAAGCTAAGTTCTGTGGAAAAACAGAAAGGAATCGTTAATTATTGGAGGTGCAGACAAAAGGTTTGTTGAAAAGATAGCAGTTGAAATGAACCTTTAGGATGAGTAGAACTTTGATAGCTGAGAATATAAAGTAGACTTTACAATATGAATAAGAATATAGGAGCTTGAAGGAAAATATATGATGTGTGAAGAATGGTTTGTACTCTGGTGTGGCTATATTTAGAGAAATAATACAAAATGAGGCTGGGAAAGTAGGTTAGGGCTAGAAAGTTGAATTGGAATGGGAGAGGCTGGAATATGTTTCCTGTGCAACGAGAATCAAATAATTGAGAATACAGTATGTGCGGTAGCAGTACTAATCGCCGTTGCCGCTGTTCTCTCAGAACATGGTGGCCCTAGTGTATAACATGCAAGGTTCAATATTGTATCAGCAGGGGGCAGCAGGGGGCGAGTGGTGAAGGCACTGGACTCACATACTGACGTCCTGGACCTGGTGGCTTGAACCCAGGAGGAGAATGGAAGAGTAGGGATTGTAGTGTAGCCACCTGCCCCCACTAGGGACGTAATATTTTTCCTTTCCTTCTCATTGTCTATTTCTGTCTCCAGTGAGCACTCTTACTCTATGACATGAAAAAAAGAGAAGAGGGACCAGCAGTTGGCATAGTGGCTATGTCGCTGGGCTCCCATGGAGTTGACCACAGTTCGAGTCCTGGACCCAGTGGCTTAAACTCACACTGGGCACATGTGTGTGCATGCCCAAGATCCAGAGAGGAGAATGGAGGAGAAGGGATTGCGGTGTGGCCATACCCTCTGGGGGGGGGGGGGGGATTTCTCACTTTCTGTTTCTCTGTCTCTGTCTTTCTGGTGAGCGTACATGCAAAACCTCTCAAAAAAAAAAGAACGAGAAGAAAAAAATTGGGGTTATCCATACTTATTTCCATTAGGTGGTCATTCATATTTCTTAACTGTTGTTTGTGCTATTCTTGCTTAGAATAGCCTTTTTTGGGGACCAGCAGGAGAAGTAGTGCCCAAGGCACTGGAGTCCCATGTGGCCAACCACGGTTCAATTCCTGGACCTGGCAGCTTGAAACTCATGCTGGGTGCATATGTGTGCATGCACAAGATCCCGAGAGGAGAATGGAGAAGGGATTGCAGCATGGCCATCCCCTGTAGGGGATGATTTCTCGCTTTCTGTCTCTGGTGAGCACATGCGCCCTATATAGCAAAAGTCTCTCTTAAAAAAAAAATAGCCTTTTTCTTTTTCACCTGATTTAATTTTACTTGTTTTTTTAAGACCACCAGTTCCATTGCTTAGATTTTCTGGCATAATTAGTTATTTCTGAATTCTTATAACCATACATACTTATCTTCTAATTATATTAACTAAATCTATTATTGAATGCATTTCTGTCTCGGTTAACTCTTAAGCGCTACCAGGTAGGAACCTAGTGGGATTATTTTTTCTCTCCTGCTGTGCCTTAGCTCTAACTTTAGAATGACATATCTTTGATATATAGGATGAGTGTGCCTAATCTGAAAATTCATAATCCAATATGAAGTGCTCCAAAATTGGAAACTTTTTAAGCACTGACATGATGGCACAGGTGGAGAATTTCATCCTTGACGTCATGTGATGCGTTACAAAGTGTTGCAGTACGGGCCGTGGTCATTAAGGCAGCCCATTCCACATGGCTGACCACACGGTTCTGAATCCTGGACCTAGCAGCTTAGAAGCACTCCAGGCATGTGACTGCCCAAAATCCCAAATGGAGGAAAATGGAAAAGGGATTTCACCACAGTGGGTCCTTTCTCACTTGCCCTCTTCCTCTCTGTCTTTCTGTTTCCTGTGAGCTCACTTGCCTTCTATCAATTTTTTTAAATGCCACAATACAGAAATCTTATATAAAACTACCTTTAGGCTGTGTGTATAAGATATATATGAAACATAAATGAGTTTGATGTTCAGATTTGAGTCTTCAAGGTATGTTATTGTTTGTATACAAATATCCTCAATTCCAAAAAATCCAAAATCTGAAACACTTGCTGTTTCTAAACATTTTATATAAAGGATACTCAGCCCATTTTTACCATGTATTTATTGAGTAAACAAGAGAAAAGAAATTCCTTGCTTTCTTCTTTTTTTCCCCCTCTATAATTTTATTGTCCATTGTGTTACTGCAAATAAATGTCACTTACATTACAATGGAATTCTTTATGAAGCATAGCTTCTTTTGTACTTTTTATTCTTATTTTTAATTATTTTTTCAGGCTTATTTCTTCTATAAAAGAGAGAGAGACAGAGGAGAGGGCATCCCCAATGGGGTCCTTGCAGATTCTTGAATATGATCTACCCCCAGCTCACCCAGCAGGGATCATGTGCACATGTGCATGTCTGGTATCTACAGGGAGACCACAGGACAAGAACTGCGAATCCCCTGCAGAACATCATGTTACTACTGTGAGGAGTTTTTTTCACTCCTTTTTATTCAGAGCTTTTTTTTTTTCGCTATAGGGTTCCTGCGCTTGCCAGAGAGATAGAGAGACAGGAAGCAAGAAATCACCCCCCCCCAGTGGGAGGTAGACACGCTACAATCCTTTCTCCTCCTTTCTCTTCTTGGGATCTTGGGCATGCACACACATGCGCTTGGTGTGACTTTTAAGCCACTGGGTCTGGGACTAAAACTGCAGTCAACCCATGGGAGTCCAGTGACTCAACCGTTATGCCACCTGCCCTCGAATTTTAAGTGTTTTTACTTGGGAACTCCTTACACAGGTTTGTGAGTTAGTGTTTACCATTACCTCTTTTGTCATATGTACCCATATATTTGTACATGTACATAGAGTCACCAGTGTGTATTTTGGGGTGTTTCAAATAATATTAGAGATTGAAATCTTCAGTATTTGGGGCCAGGAGGTGGCATGGTGGTTAAGGGTCTGGACTCTGTCCTGGCTGATCATGGTTTGAGCCCTGGACCCTGCAGCTTGAAAATCATGTCAGGAGCATGAAAAAATGGAGAAGGGATTCTAGTATGGCCATCTCCCCTAGGGGTGATTTCTCACTTTGTCTCTATATCTCTGTGTCTCTGTCTGGTATGTGCATGCACTGTATGATCCAAAAAAAATTTTTTTTAATGTTTGTGGGGCCAGTTGGTTGTATGATTAAGGTGATTGGATCCCACATGATTGACTGCAGTTTGAGTCCTGGACCTGGTGTTTTTAAAATCATGCTGAGTGGGGCCGGCAGGTGGCATGATGGTTAAGGGTGCTGGACTCCCACATGGCCAACCACGGTTCAATTCCTGGATCTGGTGGCTTGCTTTCTCATTTTTCTCTCTCTCTCTGTCCCTCTCTGATCAAATTAAAATAAATAAATTTAAATAATTCTTTTTAAAAAAAGGACATGCTGGGTATGTGTTCCTGAAATCTGGAGAGGAGAAAAAGAGTAGGGATTGCGACCTACCCATCCCCTCTATGGAGTGCTCTCTCACTATCCTTCTCTCTCTCTCTGCCTCTTTCTAGCAAGTGCATGCACTTTATAGCAAATTTAAAAAAAAAAGAAAATTCTCATTGTTAGCATTGTATAATCAAAGGCTTATATTTTGGGGAAACTTAATGGTTTTGGGATTGGAAAATTTACAGTCAACCTTGAGAATAAGTTAGGGGGAATATATTCTCCACTATCCTGGTTGAAAATGTTACATATCAAGGCCTTTCCTTCACCTGTAAATTTTGTAAGGATTTGTTAGTTTTGGTATTTGTTTTGCGTATACATGTGAGTAGAGACTAGAGGGAAATATTGGCATAGTGAAACTAGAAATTGGTGAAAGCATTTTACAGGCTTGCTAAAAGGACATGGATATAGGCTAAAATAAAAATAAGTAGCTGTGTGGTGCAGGCAGTGGCATACTGCTGTGTGACAGTCACGTGGAAAGGCCCAGGATTCAGAGCCCAGGTTGACCAGAGCACACCAGACTTGCCTCTTATCCTGGCAGGCTGGAGGGCTCAAGGCTGGATTGCAGTGTGACAGGACATTCTAAGAGGTCCCTATTTGTTGTGTATGTGTCTCTCTTTTTTTTTTTTTTGAGAGTTTTTTTGCTATAGGGTGAATGCACCGCCAGGAAGACACAGAGAGACAGAAAGCGAGAAATCATCCCCCTGTCGGGGGGATGGCCACGCCACAATCCCTTCTCCTCCATTCTCCTCTTGAGATCTTGGGCACGCATAAACACGTGCCTGGCATGAGTTTAAGCCACCAGGTCTGGGACTCGAACAGCAGTCAGCTACGTGGGAGTTCAGTGACATAGCCATTACGCTAACTGCTGGTCCCTGTGTGTCTCTCTTTCAAGAAAGAAAAATAAAATTATAAAGAGAAAGGGTGGATTGGTTCGTGAATCTTACTTAAATTCTTTAGCTCTGTTCTAGTGTAAAAGAAAATTAGGTTGGTTATAAGAATTTTATGGAGAAATGTCTTTTCTGCTAGGTTCATTTAAATATTTTAGATGAAATCTTAATAGGAATATTAGAGATCAAGGACATTTATAGTATATTTAAGTAACATTTCACTTACGTAATCTATTTGGTAGTCAGTTTGGTAGTCATCAAAGTTACTATTATGTTTATCTTTTTAATTTACCAAGTAAAATTATTCTTGATTTTTTTTTTACTTCTAGCAAAGTGTGGGATGCTGTCTCAGGAGACGAGCTGATGACCCTGGCTCATAAACACATTGTCAAGACAGTAGATTTTACGCAGGTATCAGAAAATGGAATTTATTTTAGGGAGTTAAATTGCTATTATATGGTATGATAATGGTTTTCTATGTGATTGTTTTGCATATTTTGTTTATATATTTTTCTATGGGATATTTAGTATATATTGGCTTATATTTAATTGTATGTTAATGTGCACACATTTGTTTTTTCTTGGTTAATCCTGTGAGGGTTTTAAGATACCCTGAGACTCTTGTGTTAATTCTCCAAAAATAGCAACATATCTAAAAAGCTCAAATAATGTTTCCCAACTATGTTTAGAGGGGAGAGAGAAATTTGAAATCATTGAGGACGTGCTCCGCAGGAGGAAAGGGGGAAGCATCAGGGTGGAATGAGAGCACGCCTGTGTTTGGGAGGTAGTGACACCTGAACTGGGAAGCTTAAAGGACTTGGAAATTAGAAGGGCATTTGTCCCGCAGGATCATCTCAGAAGTAGTAATTTACTGTTGCCCTTTCTGATGTCTGAGAGTTATATTTGGATTTTATTTAATGTTGAAGCTTCAGAGAGTACTCTCTTAGTTATTAATTCATTAACATTTTACTTGTCTGTGTTTTCAGGATAGTAATTATTTGTTAACTGGAGGACAGGATAAACTGTTACGCATATATGACTTGAACAAACCTGAAGCAGGTAAGCATATTTTTTCCTATGCTAATTTTTAAAAATTACTCATATAGCTTTCACACAGTTTAAAAAATGTTTCCTAGTATAAGTTTTTATCATGATGATAATTTTATAAAACATACAGACTTCCTTTTTGTAAGAAAGAGTGGTTATCCATAGGTGAGGATAAGAATTCTCAGTGTGGGGACCAGCAGTTAGCGTAATGGCTATGTCACTGAACTCCCATGTAGCCGACTGCGATTCGAGTCCCGGACCCGGTGGTTTAAACTCACACCAGGCACGTGTGCGTGCGTGCCCAAGATCCCGAGAGGAGAATGGAAGAGAAGGGATTGCAGCATAGCCATACCCCTGAGGGGGTGATTTCTCACTTTCTGTCTCTCTGTCTTTCTGGCGAGCGCATGTGCCCTATAGCAAAAACCCTCTCCAAAAAAAAAAAAAAGAATTCTCAGAGTTTATCTGTATTGTTTAGAATTTTGAGCCTTGGGATTATGAATTTTATTTGTTTTTTAATAACGGAGAGCTTGTGTACAAGCATGTGAAAGAGAGACCATACCTTCCTTACAGGGCCTAATCACCCTGCAGTTTTTTTTCATCCAATTTTCTGCCCTATCTGTGCCTAGCATATTTTTCAGGTCACCAGGACCAAGACTTGAACCCTGGTTGGCCATGTCTGACTTCCTCTGTAACACTTAACCAATGAGCTACAGGGTTAGCCCTCAAATCAATTTTTTAAAAATCTGCACTGACAGTTTTTTCTGTGCTTTGTACTGGGGGCTAGCAGGTAGTGTGGTGGTTAAGGCGCAGGATCTCACATGACTGACTCTGCTATTTGAGTCTTGGATATGGTGGCTTGCCAGTGGCACTGGGCGTGTGTGTGTGCACGTGAGCCTAAGGTTCCGAGGAGAGAATGACATTAGTTTTGGAGAGTGATTTCTTTCTTTCTCTGTCTTTGGTGAGAGTACATGCCCTTTAATCAAAAAGTAACTAAATACGCATGCAAGCTATGAAGTATTTTAAAAATTGAACAATTTATTTTTTAGATTTTTTTTTTTTTTCTGCCACAGGGTGTTATGTGTGCTTGCTGGGCTAGGAGGGGTGAGAAATCACCTTCCACCTTCAAAGTGAGATGTCCACATTGCAGTCCCTTTTCCTCCTTTCTCCTTGGGATTTTGAGCGTGCATACACACACATATATTCCCAGCATGCTTGAGCTTTTTCTTTTCTTTTTTTTTTTTTTTTTATGTTTTTTCCCACCGTCTACTTCCAGAGATTTTTTTGTAAAGGGTGTGTGTGTTCTTCTGAGACAGAGAGAGAGAGAGAGACAGAGACAGTGAGAGGGAAAGTGAGAAATCACCTCCTGGGGGATGGCCATGCCACAGTCCCTTCTCCATTCCCTTCCTGGGATTTTGGGCTCAGACACATGCCTGCGTGATGTTCAAGCTCCCTGGTCTAGGACTCAGTTTGTGGCTGGCCATGTGGGAGTCCAGCACATCAACCTCCACACTGTCTGCTGCCCTGTTTGAACTATTTTTAATGACTGATGGTTCTTCATCCTGTGAACATGCCAAGTGAATTAACCAGTGTCCTATTATAGCCTATTTGTGCTATTTAAAAATTTTAAATACAATTATACATCATTTAATAATGGAGACACTAGAGCCACCAGGTAGAGTGGTGGTTCAGGCTCCAGATTCCCACATGGCTGACCATAGTTCAAGTCTGGACCTGGTAGCTTGGGAATCACGAGGATTTTGCCACAGGGCATGCACACTTGCTGAAGAGAGAGAGAGAGAGACAGAGAAGGGCAGTAAGAAATCACCCTTTGGGAGGGGACGGCCATGCTGCAATACCCTCTCCTCCGTTCTCTCCTTGGACATGCACCCACGTGCATCTGGTGTGATTCTCAACCCTCTGGGTCTAGGAATTGAGCCAGGGTCAGCCGTGTGGGAATCCAGTGCCTTAACTGTCATACCATCTGCTGGCCTGTTGATTTTAAATTTTTAAAATTTAGGTTAATAAGGTTTTATGGTATTTTTTTTAATTTAGGTGGTAAAAGTCTACCTTTTCCTATGAATTCTCATGTCACAGAAGTCATAGATGTGTTCTCTCCTCTATTTCAGATATTCACCTCTATGGTCATGCAATGATTTTCTAGATGTATGTATATTTAAAAAGTTGGGGCCAGCCAGTGGTGTGATAGTTTAGGTGACTGGATCACACTTGGCTGAATGGATGGTTTGAGACCCAGACCTGGCGGCCTAAAACAAACATTGGCATATGTGTGCGTGCACCCAGAATTCCAAGAGGAGAATGGAGGAAAAGGGATTGCAGTGTGGCCACCCCCCATGGAGAGTGCTTTCTCATTTTCCCTTTCTTTTTTTCTCTCACTTCTTTGGTCTGATGAGTGTATATGCTCCATAGCAAATGTTAAAAAAAGTTATAAAACGTGATGTACAGAATTTATTTTTATTATATGTTAGTTGACAGTATTCATATTTTGTATGACAGATTTCATAAATCAAAATTTAAAGGAGTAGTAAGATGGTGAAGACTATTTTAGAAATTAAGCAATTATATTCTCTTGACATACTTTTTATTTCTCTGACACTTCCAGGTAGTTCAGAGCTTGGGTGGACATTTTTCGTCTTCTTTAACCTTCCCAAAGCTGCACTTCGAAAGTTGCTCATGGGGCCAGCGGGTGGCTTAGTGGTTAAGGTGCTATACTTCCACATGTCCGAATGTGGTTTGAGTCTTGGACCTGGAGGCTTGAAACTCAGGCTGGGTTTATGTGCATTACTCAGTTTGTGGCTGGCCATGTGGGAGTCCAGCACATCAACCTCCACACTGTCTGCTGCCCTGTTTGAACTATTTTTAATGACTGATGGTTCTTCATCCTGTGAACATGCCAAGTGAATTAACCAGTGTCCTATTATAGCCTATTTGTGCTATTTAAAAATTTTAAATACAATTATACATCACTTAATAATGGAGACACTAGAGCCACCAGGTAGAGTGGTGGTTCAGGCTCCAGATTCCCACATGGCTGACCATAGTTCAAGTCTGGACCTGGTAGCTTGGGAATCACGAGGATTTTGCCACAGGGCATGCACACTTGCTGAAGAGAGAGAGAGAGAGACAGAGAAGGGCAGTAAGAAATCACCCTTTGGGAGGGGACGGCCATGCTGCAATACCCTCTCCTCCGTTCTCTCCTTGGACATGCACCCACGTGCATCTGGTGTGATTCTCAACCCTCTGGGTCTAGGAATTGAGCCAGGGTCAGCCGTGTGGGAATCCAGTGCCTTAACTGTCATACCATCTGCTGGCCTGTTGATTTTAAATTTTTAAAATTTAGGTTAATAAGGTTTTATGGTATTTTTTTTAATTTAGGTGGTAAAAGTCTACCTTTTCCTATGAATTCTCATGTCACAGAAGTCATAGATGTGTTCTCTCCTCTATTTCAGATATTCACCTCTATGGTCATGCAATGATTTTCTAGATGTATGTATATTTAAAAAGTTGGGGCCAGCCAGTGGTGTGATAGTTTAGGTGACTGGATCACACTTGGCTGAATGGATGGTTTGAGACCCAGACCTGGCGGCCTAAAACAAACATTGGCATATGTGTGCGTGCACCCAGAATTCCAAGAGGAGAATGGAGGAAAAGGGATTGCAGTGTGGCCACCCCCCATGGAGAGTGCTTTCTCATTTTCCCTTTCTTTTTTTCTCTCACTTCTTTGGTCTGATGAGTGTATATGCTCCATAGCAAATGTTAAAAAAAGTTATAAAACGTGATGTACAGAATTTATTTTTATTATATGTTAGTTGACAGTATTCATATTTTGTATGACAGATTTCATAAATCAAAATTTAAAGGAGTAGTAAGATGGTGAAGACTATTTTAGAAATTAAGCAATTATATTCTCTTGACATACTTTTTATTTCTCTGACACTTCCAGGTAGTTCAGAGCTTGGGTGGACATTTTTCGTCTTCTTTAACCTTCCCAAAGCTGCACTTCGAAAGTTGCTCATGGGGCCAGCGGGTGGCTTAGTGGTTAAGGTGCTATACTTCCACATGTCCGAATGTGGTTTGAGTCTTGGACCTGGAGGCTTGAAACTCAGGCTGGGTTTATGTGCATATTTGCCTGAAATCCCAGGAGGAGAATGGAGGAAAAGGGATAGGAGCGTGGCCATCCCCTGGGGTGTGATTTCTCACTTCTGTCTCTCTGTCTCTCCAGAGAGCATGTGAGCCCCATGGCAAAATTTCTCAAAAACCAAAACCAAGTTGCTCTTCTGCTATAGTAGCAGTAGAAATTATGGCAATTAATGGAGGCTTTACTATATATCACACATGTTAAACAGTTTAGATATTCTCATTCGGTCCTCACAAACTGTCAGGAATTATAGCTATTGTTATTCCGTTTTACAGAAGAAAAAATGTTTTCAAAAAAGTAACATGCCCATGTGTGTTGATTGGCATAGCCTCCAGCACCTGCTTTTGCTCAGAGATAATGAAATGAGAATTTTAAAACGTTTAAAGGGAAAATCTGCAGCAGAAATAAGCGTCCCCACACCTCTTGCCCTTTTTGTTGCTTTTACTCTCAGCGTAGAAACATTCCTGGGAGTTGCTTATCCTGTGTTGTAGTTGCCCTTTTCTCCTACTTCTCTCTCTCCTTGTTCTCCCGTATTCGTTACAGGTAACAGCTGTTTGGGTGAAAGTCCTGAGATAGCAGTAGTACTTGGAATAGCTCAGGCAATCTTGTTCCTGGGTCCATGTTCTTATTAGATCATGCTATATTAGTTATTCTTTTATTTCATTGCAATAGTTATATTTTTTAATATTATTAGTTGTGCAGAAAGTTAGCCTGGAGGGGAGTATGTGATGAATTCACTCAGCTGTATAAGTGTTAGAGGTCTTAGGTTCCTTTTGCATATGGATTTTTGTCCCAGTATGGAAAAAAAAAACACCAATGTATTCTATGTAAACATGAAGTTTGACTTGTACTGGACTAAAAAGGTGCAGTCTAACTTAAAATGTATTTTTTGTATTTTAAATATTTTTAAGAACCTATGGAAATAAGTGGTCACACCTCCGGTATTAAAAAGGCTCTGTGGTGCAGTGAGGATAAACAGATTCTTTCGGCTGATGATAAAACCGTGCGGTGAGTCATTTTTCTTTCCTAACTTAAGGATTGAAAAGTATTTTACTCTAGAGCTTGCATTTTAAATATTTTTTAGCAGCCATTATGAGGAAAAGAATTTAACACTAAAATTTAAGCTGTGTGCAGCTCACCTTGACCTGGAGCTGACCGTTTACCGTTCTTTATACACAACAGAATTAAGAAGAAACTTAATTAAAACTACTGACAGCTTTGAAAGCAGACATTACCCTGAGGCTGGGTAAAGGGGGAGGGGAGTCCACGAAGTCCCTACAAATCTATGTAAAACTTTGTGTGTGTGCTGACACTGGATATACTTTTCTGTGGAAAGATGGCCGTTATCGGATTCACAGAAACGGAATGTACAATCCACTGTCAAGAAAATGACTCCATTAGGATTTAAGTATCAGTTTTGCTAGGTTGTTTGGATAATGTATTTAGGTATTAAAGCTGACTTCACTAACAAGCTACCAAATAATTTGACTTTGTATAGGAACCTAATGTTTCTGTCTTCTGTAATTTATGATTTAAAATTAGTATTGTTTTACTGCAGTTCTGATTGGTTTACAGATAAATTGGTTAATCTGTGGATCTAATTATGATTTAAACGTTTTTCTTAATAAGTATCACTGTGTTTTTCTTATTCTTTTGTAGCCTTTGGGATCACGCTACTATGACAGAAGTGAAGTCTCTAAATTTTAATATGTCTGTTAGTAGTATGGAATATATTCCGGAGGGAGAGATCTTGGTTATAACTTATGGACGATCTATTGCTTTTCATAGTGCAGTAAGGTATGTACAAGAAATAACCTCCATTTTCTTTTGGGGATAATGACATATAGAATTCTTAAAAGCTGGAAGGCATATGTAATAGGGACTTAATTCTTTTAAAGACACATTGTGATCATTGTTATATAATGTGGAGGGAAACATTTCTATCTCCATTTAAAATGAGTGTTTTATAAGAATTTTGTTTATTTCAATCAGAGGAATCGAAAAGAACCACCGGATTGCTGTTCTAATTAGTGTTCTTTATAAAACCACTGTGATTGGGCTAACTGGTGGCTTATGGGTAAGGCAACTGACTCTCACATCGCTGACTGCACAGTTTAAGTTCTGGACTCAGTGGCTTGAAAAACATGCCGGGCATATGTGCGTGTGTACCCAAAATCTACAAAGGAGAGTTGGAGAAGGGGTTATGGTGTGACCGTCTTTCATAGAGGGGTGTTTTCTCTTCTCTCTATCTCTGTACTTTCTGATGAGCACATGCGTCCTCGGACAAGTTACAAAAGAAGAATATAAAGTCTATACACATACAGCGAATTGACAATAATAGAATACTATTGCTATCAAATTGAATAGCTGGGCACCATGCGGCTGTTTTGCATGCTATAACCTCAAATCCCATCACAGTTTCAGATTGTTAGTTTACTGAGTATACTGACATTTAAGCCAGCAAGTTGCTATTCAGTGAGCCTGCATGACTAATGTCTAACATTAATTTCTGTGGTTTGTAGTGTTTGATAATGGGCATAGGAGGGTGACTATTTTTATATTTGGGGCTTTTTGTGATTTTTTTAGAGTTAAACTGGTAGAGAACTAGTAATGTCTTAAGTTGTAATTGATTTTTTAAGAGAAGCTGTTATACGTTGACTTGTATTATATAACTAACTATAGTTTCAAATTTAGTCTCAAATATCTTTTACTGCCTGCTTGTAAAAACTAAGATATTCTTGGGACCAGCAGATGCCATAATAGTTACATTGCTGGACTCCCACATGGCCAAATGCAGTTCAAGTCATGGACTGGTGTCTTGAAACTCATACTGGGTGCGTGTGCTTGAATGTCCAAAAATCCCCAGAGGAAAATAGAGAAGAGATTGCAGCATGGCCACTTCCCTCGGGGGGCTCATTTTTCATTTTCTGTCTCTCTTTGTCTCCAGCGAGTGCATGTGCCCTATAGCAAAAATCTCGCTTATAAACAAAAAACAAAATTAATATATTCTGAAAACTTTTGTGTATTATGGAATTAAATGTTTATCTTACTACAGAAGTTTAACTCTCAGCAATTGAGAATAACACTACAAATAGTCCTTTATAGTAAAGTAATTAATTTCCTATTGTAAAACCTTTTTCTGTTTGCAGAGATAATGCCTGCTTATTGTAGAAAAATCAAATAATTCAGAATGAAATTTTCTTAAAAGCAAAAATCCCAATATATTATCCATCTGGTTCTGATTAGCCAGCATGCTCACTTACAGTAAGACATTCGCTGCACAGTATGGGTATCCGACCTCTATTAAAATGCCTTTGTGTCCCTGAGATGAGCCCCACCGGGGCATAATGCTCTTCTAAAATTTTTTCCCCCTTGTAAGGGCATGTGTGCCCACTGGAGTGAGACAGAGAAAGAGAAAGTGAGGAACCACGCTCTCCCTGCCCCTGGGGAGGTGACCACACCACCACCACCACCTCTTCTTTTCTAGTCTACTCTAGGGATTCTGGGCATGTGCCTGTGCACACACACACCACACACACGCACACACCACACACACACACACACCACACACACGCACACACCACACACGCGCGCGCACACACACACACGCACACACACACACGCACACACACACATACACCTGGCATGTTTTTCAAGGTGCTGGGTATGAGACCTGAACCATAGACAAGGCCATGTGGGATCCAGTGCTTTAACCACCGTGCCACCTGCTGGCCCCCTTCTGAAGTCTGCTAACATTATCTAGAATTTTTTAATTTCACTGATTATGATTGACTGATTATTTAATTATTCATTAGGTTTCAGAATTTAGGAAAGCTTAAATATATAGCTAGTTACTCCCTTATATTATTTGTACAGTATTTAAAATTTGTAATTATTTATTTATTTTAGTTTGGACCCAATTAAATCCTTTGAAGCTCCTGCAACCATCAATTCTGCATCTCTTCATCCTGAGAAAGAATTTCTTGTGGCAGGTGGTGAAGATTTTAAACTTTACAAGTATGATTATAATAGTGGAGAAGAATTAGGTGAGTTGTTGTCTTCCTCCCTAAATGTGATGTAGTTAACCTTTATCTCAGGCTTTATGTTCAAGTAATTAACACCTCATTTATGAATATAACATGTTGAAAGTACATTTTTAGGACCAGCAGGTATTGTGCTGGTTAAGCTGCTGGATTTCCACATGACGGACTGCGGTTTAAATTCTAGACCTGGTAGCTTAAAAATCATGCCAGGTGTGTGTGTATGCATGCCCAAAATCCTGAGAGGAGAATAGAGGAGAAGGGACTGTAGCGTGGCCATTCCCCTGGGGGGAGTGAGTTCTCACTTTCCCTCTCTCTGGAGAGTGCATGGGCCCTATAGCAAAAACTTTATTAAAAAAAAAAAAGTACATTTTTCATTCCGCTGAAGCTTGATGCTTGCAAGTGAAAAAGTAATGGAATTTTATTCATTTTGGATAAAAATTGTTATATTTATGCCAAAATCCAGTTTTACCACTTTCTTTTAAATAAAGCTCACCGTGACACTGTGTTCTGTACTACAGTGCAGTGATATTTCAGGCTGTACTGAGGGCAGGTATCAATCTTACACGAAAGCTACATGTTACATAGATGGAAGGAGGTCCCTGCTTTCTAAAGTAATGTGCAGATGTGTAACTCCCATATCCCTGTCTCTGCCCCTGCCCCCTTTTGCCAATTTGAGGATCTCTGGCTCTGGAGAGAACAGTGTGTGATGCAGGGGAACCACGATAGCATATTAGAGAGATACCTTTAGAATCTAAATTGGGATGTTTTTTGTTTGTTTTTATTTTATGTATTTTTTTTGGAGTCTTGAGTTTTGCTTCCATTTTTATGATACATTATCTTTAATAAGGGAAAGCCATAGAGCATTAATTGAAGTTAATTAATATACTAACTTTATATTTAATGAATCAGTATTTCATATAGTTATGCATGGTTCTCACCATCATTGGGTTGTAAGGAAAGTCATGATGCATCTTTGCATGAAAAAAAAAACAGAAAAATACATAATGATTTTCCTGATTATCCAATACTTTTAGCTTTCCCAAATAGTTTCTGTATTTTGTTCATAAAGCATATTTAGGGGCCAGCCTGTGGCCTGGTGGTTAAGGGAGCTGACTGCATACTTCGAGTCCCAAACTTGGTGGCTTGTAAAACACACCAGGTGTGTGTTGTGCTTGGCCAAACTCCTAAAAAGGAGAGATGGAGGAAAAGGTATTGCAGCATGATTATGCCCCACACGGAATAATTATTCCCCACAGGTGGGGCAAGTATACACATTCTCTGGCCAAAAAAGAAAAAAAGACATTTTTATAGTTATTTTTACCTGTAAGCTGCCACTTCTTTGTTATTATCTGTGTCTAGCACTCCTGATTTTCCACCCAAAAAAAACTAAGCTTTCTAGAATTATACACAAAGAACAAATGACAATTTTGTTTTGTTTCTTGGGGAAAACTGGTTGATATGGATTGCATTAATGAAACCTTGGTGGATGGATCTTTTGGAATCCATTTTAATTGCCTGTGGTTCACTCTTTTTTTTTTTCTTTTTTTGGAGAGGTTTTTGCTATAGGGCGTGTGCGCTCACCAGACAGACAGAGAGAGACAGACAGAAAGCGAGAAATCACCCCCCAGGGGAGATGGCCACGCTGCAATCCCTTCTCCTCCATTTTCCTCTCGGGATCTTGGGCACACACGCACACATGCCCGGCGTGAATTTAAGCCACCGGGTCCGGGACTCGAACCGTGGTCAACTACATGGGAGTCCAGGGACATAGCCATTACGCTAACTGGTGGTCCCCCTGTGGTTCACTCTTTATTGCTGGAATATGTGACCTATAAAAATTATATTTATTTAATGTTAGTTTTCAAATTAAAATATTTAACTTTAATTATTTTATTTTATTTTTTATAATTTGACCAGAGAGTGACAGTGAGAGAGAGAGACAGGATGTAAGAGAAAGTAAGCCACTAGGTCCAGGCTTTGAACTGGGGTCAGCCACATGGGAGTCCAGTGCCCTTAACCACCATGCCACCTGCCAGCCTCTGTTTTATTCTTTTTTAAGATGGGCAAGTAGAATTTGATCCAGGGTCATCGTTAGAGAATACTAGGCCTTACATTCTCATTCTGAAATCTCATGTACTTTCTACTCACCTTTTTTATGGGAGGCAGAACAGTAACATCGTTTCAGTAAGGAACTTTGAAAACTGACAAAGTGATGAAGCATTTAAAAGTAAATAGGATTCATAAATAATAACATGACTTAAACTCAGTGCACTGTCTCATTGCGATCCATAGATTAAGATTTAATTGACGGAGCAGTAGTGATCCCATATGTTAATGTGACAGAGTGTTTAGTTTATAGAGATCTGATAGGAAATTGAGGCAGAGTGCATGAAGAGCTCCATCTGGTGGCTCCCTATAATCATAATAAGAATTGATTCCCTGGTAAATAGGCAGTGAGTTTAGGAATAAATATGGAGATTGGGGACTGAACTGAGAGACTTTAGATCTACTTTTTGTAGAGTTTATGGGGTTTTCATTTACTCTTCATCTATCTGCAATGGGACATGAAGTCTTTCTTTTTTAAAGAGGCAGTTTGAAACTATAAAGGGTGACAGATTTGGAAAGGGATATCTTATAGAGAAATAATAAATAAGACATACCACTTTGTGATGAGAATTACTTTATTTCTAATTTCTAATAGGTCTTTGTATTTTCCCTTAAGACATTTTTATCTCCCCAGTATTATAAACAGTATTTTCTTAAGAATGTCAATACTTAATAGTTTAATAGTAGATTATCTTAACAGCCCTCTTCTTGTTGTTCAGAATCCTACAAAGGACACTTTGGTCCTATTCACTGTGTGCGATTTAGTCCTGATGGGGAGCTGTATGCCAGTGGTTCTGAAGATGGAACTCTGAGACTATGGCAGACTGTAGTGGGAAAGACATACGGCCTTTGGAAATGTGTGCTTCCTGGTAAGAACTTTTATTCTGTTACTAAATGAAAATTTATGATTTTGTGTCATTCTTTAGCACTGATTTTATTTTAATGTTTGTTTCTTCTCTTGATTTATAATTATATAATGTTTAATCGGTGAGAAACCTGTGATTATAAATTGGACACTGATCTTTTGTTTGTTTATATTTTTTAGCTGTGCAGTCTGTTCTGTCCTTAAATTTTTATACTAACTCATTTGGTGAATGGAATGGACCTAATTTATGATTTGAGATAGAGCACTTCAAAGAATATACAAGGGAATATATATAATCTCTGAATAGTGTTACCGATAGACTTTAAAAAAATTTTTTTTTAAAGGCTTTTGCCATAGGGCATGTGGACTCGCTGGAGAAATACAGAGGCAGGGAAAGAAGGAAAGTGAGAAATTACCACAACCACCCCGTCTGTAGTTGGGATGGCCATGCTGTAGTCCTTTCTCCATTCTCCTCGCAGGATTTTAGATATATACGCACATGCGCCTGTTGTGATTTTCAAGCTCCCAGGTCTGGGATTCGAACTGTGGTCAGCCTTGGGGTAGTCCAGTGCCTTTCCTACCACATCACCTGCTAGCCTCGGTAGACATAGTTTTAAGTTTAAAAAAAAAAAGACTACAGATCCTAAAGTAGTTGTAATATGAACTAAAAGTAATTTTTGAATAAAGATTTACTGTTTTAGAATTATATCCTATAGTGGAGTTGTTCCTATCATGTTTTGTGGCTCATTGCTAGGAATAGTCTTACCTTACTCTTACTAAATACTAGAAATTACTCGTAATAGTGTAATTCACATATTGATCATCATTGCTGTTCTTTCCATAGAAGAAGATAGTGGTGAGCTGGCAAAGCCAAAGATCGGTTTTCCAGAGACAACAGAGGAGGAGCTAGGTAAATACTAATTAACTGACTTTTGTAAGAGTCCTAGGGGTGGTTAAAATTGAAGTATTACGTGAGTTTTAGTCATTGAAAGAAATTTATTAACTATTACCATATTTAAATAACGTGAAGTTTAAATATTTATGTATATGTATTTATAAATGGAACGGTTAAATACCTGCTGCATAGTAGTAGGCACGGAGATGTGGTGTGGACACGATTGCTGTGGTTACTCTGAATTCAGAAGTCTAACTTAGGAGACATGTTGAAACAAACGAATTCTGCTCATGCTTGAATGACATAGGGTTTAGAGGCACCAATACCCATCCCCTGTTGAAAATTTGCATATAACTTTTTAAGATTTTTGCCATGAGGTGAGTATGTTCGCTGGAATGGGACAAAGAGGAGGGAAGTGAGAACTCACCCTCCACAGGGAATAGCTGTGCTTGTAGATGACTTTTGACTCTCCAAAAACTTAACTACTTATGTAGCCTACTGTTGACTGGAAGCCTTACTGATCATATAAATGGTTGATTAACATACATTTTGTATGTTATATCAATAAACTAAACGAGAGAAAAAATAATTTTTAAGGAAGAGAAAATACATTTACAGTACTGTATACTGTGAATTTATGTCATTTATTTACCAGAAGAATCATCTATCTGCTAGTTTCCACATCAGTATTGTCTTAAAATTGCACAAAACAGGTATCTATATTACCAGCACTGGATATCAAAAAGGAAGCGATAACGTGAAAATTCATTATTTATTTACAGCATAACAATTCGTACATTGATAACGAAGAAGCAGCAGTATGATCACTTTATGGAAGCCTAGTGCAGTAGTTCTGATTGTTTTATGATAGCCTAGTCTGCATACTAATGAACAGATCATTACAAGGTTTTTATGGCTTACAGTATTCTTATAGTCGTGCTCATAATCTAGTGTTGGAAATGTTGCAGTTTTTAAAAACCACTTACCTGTTATGATAGTCTAATGTGCAGTTTCTCCAATTACTAGAGCAGCACACTAGGGATATATAATTACTTAAAAGCAAAGTTAAAAACCAGTAACATATTAGAATTCAGTATAGAGGTGAATTGTTCACCAGAGATGATTAGCATCACACTGCACTTTAAAGGACACTCGAACTCACCAAAATGGTGCCAGGAGATAGCTACCAAGTTCCCACAGTACCACAGTATGTGCTACAGGTAACTTTATGCAGTTTTGATGTTGTTGAGGTTTTTGCCATAGGGCATGTGCACTCACCAGAGAGAGGAGACAGAGGGAAAGTGAGAAATCACCCCTCAGGGGAGATGGCCACATCGAAACCCTTTTTCTCCCAGAATTTTGGGCATGAATGCATATGCGTCCAGTGTGAGTTTCAAGCCTCCAGGTCTGGGACTCGAACTGCTGTCGGCCATGTGGGAGTCCGGTGCTGTACCATACTTCTCATCTGCTGGACCTGCAGTTATGATTTTAGTACCATGTCTTTGCATTTGTAGTTTATTCATTGGAAAAAATGTATGGATAAGTGGACCTACACAGTTCTGACCCATGTTATACTGGGGCCAGCTGCACTATGCTTGCAAGGGGAATCAGGGAAAGCTTCTTGGAAGAGTAACATTTAAACTGTAACCTGAAGATGAGCAGTAGTGACTCAGGTAAGGTTATGAGATGGAGTTTTGATAGAGACAGGATAGAAGAGTTCACAGCAGGGAAAAAGTCTGTATGGACTAAGGCACAGAAGTCAAAGGAGTGCCCCAGATGAGGAATTAGAACTTCCCTGTGCCGGGACCAGCAGATGGCGTAATGGTTATGTCGCTAGACTCCCACATAGTCCACTGCAGTTTGAGTTCCAAACCTGGCAGCTTAAAACTCACACTGGGGCATGTGCATGTGTGCTCAGAGGAGAATGGAGAAAAAGGGATTGCAGTGTGGCCATCTCCCCCGACCCCCGGGGGTGATTTCTCGCTTTCTGTCTGTCTTTCCAGCGAGCACACACACCCTTTACCAAAAATCTCTCTTAAAAAAAAAGAAGACCGTCACTGTTCCTTCAGCTTAAAGAGCAAGAGCAATGTGAGGCTGAGAAGTTAGATCATTTAGGGCCTCCTTTGCTGTATTAGGATGTGGAGAGGAACACAGTCAGGCACCTCATAACTGTTTTCGTCGGCGATGGACTGCATATACAGCAGTGGTCCCATAGGAACATATAGTCTGTACTGTATAATCTAGGTGTGGGGTAGGCTGTGCCATCTAGGTTTGTGTAAGTACACTCTGTTGTTTGTACGATGATGAAATTGCTTGATGGATTTTTCAGTAAGTATCCCTGTTCTAAAGCAACATGTGACTGTCCTAAGAGCACTAAGAAACCTATGAAGTTTCAGCAGAATAATAATAAATTCAGATTTAAGTTTAAAGATTTTCCTGGTTGCCGGGGGTACAGAACTTTAGGCTGAGGACAAGATGAAGTAGACCAGTTTGAAGGTATAGTCTAGAGGAGCAGTCGTGATCATGTGGCTTTGAGTACGGAATTGCAGTAAGAACTGAAGAAGATCAGATGGAGTTGAAAGTCTTTAGTGGTAGATTTGGTAAGACTTAGTAATTTTATTAACTTGTTGAATGGGAGCATAATAAGGAAAATCACAGATTGTTGACGTGAGAAGCTTGAGTGTGATTAAAAAGGGGTTTGCCATTTACCATAGTTCCCTCTTACCTGCTATTTATTTCGTTTTCTGTTTCTGTGGTTTCTGTTACCTGTAGTCAACTGGGGTTTGAAAATAGATAAACATGGTACAGTAGAGTATTTTGCGAGAGACTGACCTTATTCACGTAACTTCTATTAAAGTATATTGATAAAATTATTCTATAATATTTTATTAGTTTCTGTTCATCTCTTACTATGTAATTTATAAATTAAAACTCTCTCATGAGTATTATGTATAGGAAGGAACATGGCCTGTGTGTATGTGTGTATTTATGGTTCTGTACTACCCAGGCACCCATTGGGGATCTCAGGATGAAGTTCTCATGTATAAAGAAGACTACTGTAACCAATTGGTTTTTCTTTTTTTTCTTTTTTTTTTTTTATTTTTAATTGTTAAGCAGCTCCTCACAAAAACTTATTGGTTAGTGTTTTGATTTGGAGAGCATTAAATACTAGGATTTGAATCAGTAAAGGAGAGGGCCAGATTGTTCAAAGACACAACTTTAATTCAGTGTTTATTAGGTAGCTGGAATAATTGGAAATTTAGCCCTGAGAAGTGACTCCTAGAGGTCAAAGTATGTTGTAAAAGAGTTTCCTGGGTAGAATACATAATTCTTTCTTCACTGCTTTTTCAGTGGTATGTCTCTTAGTCATTGATGTCATGCATAGTGTTTTCTTCCCCTCCCCACCACAGTATGCTTTAAATAAACTGTTTCTTCCATTATGCAGAATTATAGATTTGTTTCCTTCTTGATTAAATTAACTGATGTGATTTTCTGTTTTTTAATTGTAGAAGAAATTGCTTCAGAGAATTCAGATTCCATCTATTCTTCAACTCCAGAAGTGAAGGCCTGAGTGTCAGGCATATGCCACAGACAGTATACAACATATGGACTAAAATGAGCAAGCAGAGTAAAGCATCAGCCTTGCAGAGTTACTCTCTGCTTAAGGCAAACACAGCGGTAAATAATGAGGAATATGAATTAGCTCCAGTACTGGAATAACTAACTTGGTGTTACCTGTAAGTGAAAACTTACAGAGTATCAGGTGAAGGCAGGTGGAGTTCTGCTATTGTAGTACGATGGCCTCTTGTCTTTTTAATGAATATGTGCAAGCCAACATCCAATTTCTCTTATTACAATTAGATTTCTTGTAGCTCTTTATGTTATTATGGAGAAGAAAAATATATTGGCCTATTTTTCTGACTTTTCCCTTTAAAGGAGAAAGCCTTTTTTTTCTTTAGTTGTAAAGAAGAGGGAATACATGATAAAGTAACTGGTTTGATTTCTCTTTCATTGTACACTGCTTCTGAACATCTAATTGTTTTTAGTTATCTAAATAAATGCCTCTAAAACAAAATAATGTTTGTTTCTTTGGAAAGAACTAATAGATTTGAGTTTTATACATGAAAATAGCCGATAGGTTTATCTGTGTCGTAACCATAGCAAAAGACAGCTTGATTTAAAAATCTAATAATATTGGAGTTCAGTTTCTTTTACTGAATGTTTGAAGTCTTCATGTCCTTTATAGGAGTTTACATTTACCTCTCCTCTCAAATTGGATGGAAGTTTTTGACTTACCTTTTTAAATGATCAACTTAAATGATTGCATGCTTTTGATAAGGGAAAAATACAACTAGAATTAGCAGAAAGGTGGTAGGAAAAATATCCTAGCATACCCCAAAATACTATTAAAATTGAATTACCTTTAATACACATTAGTACACCTCTGTGTATATATAGATAGAAATTATTTTCATGAAAATGGCAAAGCAGTAGATCTGCAATGTTTTAAGAAGTATCAGATTTTCGAGAACCAGCAGTTAGCGTAATGGCTATGTCGCTGGACTCCCACGTAGTTGACCGCGGTTCGCATCCCGGACCTGGTGGCTTAAAACTCATGCCGGGCGCGTGTGCGTGCGTGCCCAAGATCCCAAGAGGAGAATGGAGGAGAAGGGATTGTGGCGTGACCATCTCCCCTGGGGGGTGATTTCTCACTTTCTGTCTCTATGTCTCTCTCTGTCTGTATAGCGAGCGCACGCGCTCTATAGCAAAAATTGCTCCAAAAAAAAGTATCAGATTTTATTTTACCTTATCTTTTAAGCTTGGGTGGCATTCAAAATACTTTTTCACCAACCTAATAAATTGAATCAACTGAATTTAGACTTGTAGTTTGTTTATTTTTTTAAATATGGAGGGGAGGTCCAGCCACTATAGCATTCATTGCTAAGGTGCTGAACTTCGAGGCTGGGACCATATGGGAGGCCCAGGTTCAATTTCCAGTCCAAGCTAAAGACTGGGTGCAATGGTGTGAGCCTGTGGTCCACCAGCCCCTGCTGAATTGGAGGAGTACAACAAAGTAAGCTACACTATTTTTTTTTTTTTTTAGTAATTTAGAAATACTGTACTTCAGATCAACGAAGAACCTTTCTGCCAATTTGCTTTCTCTTTTGATTGATCTTGTCAATAACTTTGATAACCAACCGAAGAATAAACTTAATTTCTGAAGATTTGTGATAACCAGAAGAAGCACTGTAGGCTATGACAGTCTTACAGGTTTAAGAGAAGTATCCTGGGGGAGCAAACTGATGATCGCATAAGATCTCACAGAGTGGTTGTGGATTCACGCCAGCTTCCTACTTGGCCTGAACCTCCATCTTTCAGCTGTATTGACTGCACCAAGAGATGTCAGTCATTAGTCTAACATCCTAAATAAAGTTAGCACACTATAATGGTAGATTCCTACACAGTTTTATTTCAACAAAAGTTTCCAGTATCTACTAAAATTGCAGTTGCTAAAATCTCCTGTGCTCTCCAGATTTCTAATCTAGTGGTCAGTTTCCTGTCCTCACCTTCCTAAACCCTTAGCACCATTCAGTAATTGTCCACTTCCTTGCTTATTTTCCTCTGTGAAACCACGGTACTGGGTTTCCTTAACCTTACTGACTGCTTCTGTATTGGCCAGTTCCTCTTTTTACTTCTTTACCTTAGATCTGGACTTTCCTCCTTTTAGCTCTTTCTAAAGAAAAGAGTCAGTACTGGAACCTTCCAAAACTTATACCCAGCCTGCCCTGTGAGCACCAGTTTAATGGTGTCATTGAATGTTTCACCTTAACCTTTAATAAACATCTCAGACTTTACCTAACACAAATTTTGATTTTTGAACCAGACCTGTTCCTCTGTCAACTTATTCCCCTTTCCTGTAGCTAGTACTGCTACATACTCCACTCGGTAAACTAAAAAGATGTGAACGTCTTTGACACCATTCTCTCGTCTCCACGTCTACTCTCTGAGCAAGTCCTGTGGAATCTTCTGTTTTCCCCCTTCTCCACTGTCACCACCCCAGGTCAAGCTACTTTTGTTTCTTGCTTGGACTATTGCTGTGCCTTCTTCACTGCTCCCTTTCATCCCAACACCCCCAGCCCTCTCTCCATCTTTTCTCTATGCAGCAGGAAAGGTCATTGCCTCAGGATTCAAAGAGACCAGGTCACTGCCCTGTTCAAATCTATAATGGCTTCCTGTTCTACCAGATTTGGGGGATGACTTGGCTTCTGCTGCATCTGTGACTTCATATTTCCCTTTGTGCGCGACTCTAGTCAGTGGCCTCATTACCAACTTGAGGTCCTTCAGCTTGGTCTGATCTACAGTAAATGTTTGGCTAACCTTTTCTTGTGACTCAGTTTTCTAGCCTTTGTGTATCCTTTTCTTGTCATGTGCTGTTTGTCCTCCTTTATTCATCGCTCTTAGCACTGAAATTAGCTCGTGGATTTTCTTTTTTCTGTTTCCCAGAGGACATATGTGCTAGCCAGAAACAGGAAGAGAAAGCGCCCCCAATGGAATGTGGTCACAGCACAATCCCCTTACCTGCATTTCTCCATCCTGTCAGGGCTTGGCGCCTTGATGCCCCGTATGTATTTCGAGTAATTGGAGCCATGATTTGAACCAGTTGGTCAGCCATGTGGATCCTGCTCCTTTAACCACTAGGCCATGGGGACAGCCCTTGTATCTTGTGTCTTGTATTATTTTATCTTTACCTATCCCTTTGCCTAGAAAGGGGATTATATGTCGTGTTTGAGAGTTACTGAAACGAGACCCCAATCATTATCATACCAGGAAGACTATTTTCTTTTTTAAAAAATAATTATGTATTTAATTTTATTCATTATCATTATTCTGTTTTAATTGTACCAGAGAGAGACAGAAAGAGAGGGGAAAGTGAGAAAATAAGCTGCTGGGTTCAGGGCTCAAACTGAGTCAGCCATGTGGGACTCCAGCGTCTCAACCACCATGCCACCTGCCGGCCCCAGGAAGACTATTTTCTAGTTATGCAACATGGAGGATACCCCATCTGCAAGTGCTACAGGGACCTGTTCAGCTCCTTGCCTGTCCAGTGTTGTACAGCCTCTGTGTGAGACTCTGGGTCACTGTGTCCAGGTTGTGTGATGCGGTCTCCTCTGCCCGCTCTGCTGCCCATCTCATTCATCCTTGGAGGGGACCTTTTTGCTAATAGGTCATACTGTCCCACCTCATATTAGTCATTTACCTTCTTAGGAATCATTACTTAATCAGTTTCAGTGTCATTCAGAGGCTTCTTCCAGGAAACCAGGATTGAGTATAGTCAGTCAATTGTCTTCAGAGTATTTTTCATGTCAGTAAGTAAAGTTCAACACATTCTTTTTAATGGCTATAAAATAGCTAGTAAAGATGAACCATAATTTATAATAACTTACAGGTTCCATTTTTTAGAGGTTGCTTAAATTCAATAGAATCATTAATTCCTTTGCCTTTTCTTCTTTAAGACCAAGGTGGGGATAGGGAAAAATGGGCATACTTTTTCAGAAGAGACTGACAACAAAGGGCATTGAAAAAGACCCAGGGAAAACGTTTCTCTACTAAATACCTCACTTACATTTTTCATCTAGAAGATTAATATTTTAAAATAAAAAATGGTTCCTACTGGATTATTATATACTGGGCCTATACTCTTACACTAGGGGAATACTTGAAAAAAATGAATAGAGCAAGAGCATTCTCAAATAGGTTTAGCTTATCTTTGTTGATCTGCAGGAATGTTCAATGCCAGTGTGCCATGATGTCACCTAGACCGGTATGGCTTTAGATCAATAGAGTTCCTGGAGAGACATTACATCTAATAGCTTTCCCCATGGAAATAAGGCCTGTGTGTCTAAAGCACAGCTAATGGACAATAATATTACTTTAGGAATTGAATCACTTTAATAAGAAAATTGAGCTTCATCAAGTGGAAAATAATTTTAGCATAAAGATGAGTTTAAAAATAATATGTATTAAGTGTCTCCTGTTGTTATTTTCCCCTAGAATTATTTAATTTTATTCATTTTTTTATTCTTTTTTTTTCATTTTTGGAGAGGTTTTTGCTATAGGGTGTGTGTGTTCACCAGAAAGACAGAGAGACAGAAAGCAAGAAATTACCCCCCAGGGGGGATGGCCTCGCTGCAGTCCCTTCTCCATTCTCCTCTCGGGATCTTGGGCACGCACGCACACACGCCTGGCGTGAGTGACTTGAACTGCGATTGACTACATGGGAGTCCAGTGACACAGTCATTACGCTAACTGCTGATCCCCATTTTTTTATTCTTTAATTTGACAAGAGAGAGAGAGAGAGGAAGTGAAAAAGCAAGCTGCCAGTTCTGGGACACGAATTGTGGTTGGCCATGTGGGAATCTAGCACCTCAACCACCATGCCACCTGCTAACCCCTCTGCTGGGTTTTTATGTTAAAACATTTGTTACTTCGGCTGGGCTTGTATCTTACTAGTCAAGGGAGCTGGACCTCGTTTTGAATCCTGGACCTTGCAGCTTGGAAACTACACAGGCATGCTTCCGAACTGGACAGAATGGAGAAATGAAGGAGGAAGGATTGTGGTGTGACTACCCCATTGAGAGGTCGCTTCCTCACTGTTTTTCTCTGCCCCTCTGGCAAGTGCACTTGACCATTTACAAATTAAAAAAATGTACATGTTACTTCGAAATCTTTCCCAATGAGGTAATAATATGAGAGAAATTGAAATTAATCTACAAGTTTATTTGGTGCAAAAAAATTTGAAATCCACAAGTGTTTTTTTAGATGTATATTCCATGACCTTGTCAAAGACTTCCAGAGAAGTCCAGTGGTTCTAGTAAGTATGGCTACAAAAAACCAATAAATTGTGCGTGGTCTGTAGAGTTACATTGCCTGCTTTTTGTTTTGTGTTGTTTTGTGTTGTTTTAAAGTTTTTTGTCTTAAGGCACATGTGCTCACCAGGGAATAGATAGATACAGAGAAAGACAAAGTGAAAAATCACTTGCGGAGGGATGGCCACACTGCAGTCCCTTCTCTTCC